TATCATACTCAGTTTCAACCAATAATTCTTCATATCATACTAAGCCTCAACCAATAATTCTTCATATCATACTCAGCCTAAACCAACAATTCTTCATATCATACTCAGCCTAAACCAACAATTCTTCATATCATACTCAGCCTAAACCAACAATTCTTCATATCATACTCAGCTTCAACCAACAATTCTTCATATCATACTCAGCCTCAACCAATAATTCTTCATATCATACTCAGCTTCAACCAATAATTTTTCATATCATACTCACCCTCAACCAATAATTCTTCATATCATAAAAAACTTACCTGTAATCGGATTCCCGCATTCTCCTCGGTACAATGGTTTGATCTCAATTCCTATACTACACGCAGTTCTGTGTAGATCACATGTACTATCATACGCAAAACCATCTGAACCACAAACTCTCTGTGCTTTTATTGCCCTTGGACACATTAAAGGACACTCGCACCGAGGCCTGTTGTTTTTGTCCACAACGCACAATTCTCCCTGAGCCGTACAGTTTTTAGTCCTGCAGGGATCTATTAAAAAAAGTATAGATATAGTATATAGTATAGATATAGTATATATTGGTTAAAGGCCAGTGTGCACCATAATGCTTTGGGAGCCGCGAGGGTCGGGAGGCGATCATTTTCAGTTTACCGAAAGTCTATAAATTGTACTGTGTGTTTCGAATCTTTCGAAGCATTTCTTCTTTTTTATCAGACCTTTTTTACACTTGAAAACCGCTATTAACTGACGTGTTTGTTATGAACGAAACGTAAATTATTGAAATAGCTCATTGTCTGACGTTTATCTCATTCATTAAATGTAAATGAACTTAATGGTTTCCTATGAGACTCTCTTATCGCGAATCTAGTTATATCTTATCTGTCAAAAGGCCCTATCAACCCTTATCGTCCTGAAAAGTGACCTTAAAAACGGGTTTGCGGTGGTGAAATGAAATAGCATGTGATCTGTGGTGGTATGATTTGATGTGAATACGATCTGTGTTTTATTGCGTTCCGTTCTCTGTAGTTATAAAGATAGTGTTATGTTCCACTGCAATAATCCGTTCCGTTCTGTGTTTTTGCTTTAAATTCTCATCGTGCTCTACTACGTAAAATGTTTGTACTTCTTCCAACTAGAGCTGCTTGATGTTCTATTGAATCCTCGCGCAAAGTCGCTCCAAAAGTAGTAAGATTGCATGTCCTCCCCCCTTCCCCCCTCCCCTTATACCACCACCACCACCAAAATGCATTGTGGGGATTAAATTAACGAACGTTAAAATTCTAGAGGACKTTATTCTACCATCATGCTTTGCAGCTCTAGGGAACGGCGCGTCACCGGTTCAGTCTTACCTGTTTTTGGTGGTATCGAGTGTGCGCAGTAGAACTTCCGGCACTTATAAACACAGCATTTGTCTGTTCTAGGGCAATCGTCGTCTTTGACGCAACTGTTGTAAATACCCGCCGGATCATTACAGCTTAATAACGCTGACCATGTACATCGACCTGGCTTGACGCGCACCCCCTCGGGTGTTGGGAAGTTAAAGAATAAACCTAAAGGAAAGGAAAGCAATCAAGTCTGTTGAATTTTAGATATAAAGACGTCATTTACCATGCWTCTCTTTATATCCTCCCCTCCCATTCCTTTCCAGCGCCGCCTCGCAGCTACAATACAATGACAACGAAACCTATACTATAACTCTGTACAACGATCACCTTTCAAAACCGACCACCTCTAGAAACGGACCGCCCGGTATGAAACACGCTACTCTACAGAACGACCTTAGTAATTGACCTCGAATGATTCAACAGCAACTTTAAAACCGACCACCCCCACAGCGACATACTCGATTACCATTTCTTCAATATGACTATATATCTTTCATTAGCCGACAAGCTCTATATAGCGACCATGTCTGGCCATTGTGACAAGCCTTTTTCGAGTACAATTGCCCTATCATTGTCTTATCACTCTAGCCTWTGTACGTTTGCGGGAAAGAGCAAAAACCGTGTTATGTGATTTGAAGTTTATTCAGACTTCTTTCCGGTTGTTTTTTGTCTGGCTGCAGGGCTTTTAAGGAAACTATCTSAAGAAGGTCATGACCAGTAGTTAAGAAATTACTGATAAAGATTCCAGAGCGCATGACAATGTCWGMCATGGATTGATAAAGAGCACTGTATGGAGTACAATCRCTTTGCCAACTCGCCTCGCGTCKTTTTCTTTTTCGCTTTGCTGTAATTTTATGTCGCCTTTAAATGGTTGTCAGTACTTCTTCAACGTACGGATTTTATAAGAGACRGTACGGAGGATAAACAGCAGTTAGTAAAAGAGTAGTGCGCGCCAAGAGAGTTATACAATAGACCTAATATAATGGCAAAATGACAAAGGAAAATACATGCATTCGCRTCGTTTGAAGTAGAAATGAATTCATTGCATCACAAAACATTTCAGATTAAGAAAATCAAAAGAAAGCTACACAATAAAYATGATATAAGTAAAAAATGATGGCAAACGATCAAGAGAAATGCAAAGTAAAAATGAAATCATTGCAGCACAAAACTTTCAAATTTAAAACCAAAGTGCCTAAATCAAAACACAAGAGCGCTATTTGTAACTCTTCTGCTATGGAATGAAAGAGGAATTCCGAGCACATAGAAGAAAGAGGTCATAACGGTGTCAGTATAACTATTAAACAAAAACTGGACAAAGACAGTCATACTAGACAGCATGAACTTAAAGACCTTTGAGGTATATATATCGATATCTGGGGTGGAGTTGGGCGTAAAATGCTATTATGTGTAAAGCAACGATAGCTGGTATACTGACCTAAAGTGGGCGGATAAGATATAAGATATAAGATATTTTAAGTGTGGTAAAAAAAAAAAAAAAGATCAGCAAAACATGAACAATATTTATGTAAAAACGAAATTAAAAAGACTGCAGCTAAGAAAAGAATTGACAATTCACTGTTCTGTAAACATTCTGTAACTTTTGATTTAGATTATTTATTATTATTATATTTAAAATCAGTTAATTTTTGAATTTTTAGACTTCAAAATCGGGGAAGGAAATCCACACCCTTTACTTCCCCTCTATCCGCCCTTTTAATGGCTGCCAGATGACCTCACTAATGTGCTTATCGATGCTTAGAATCGYGCAGTATATATAATATACCTTTAAAGACATCACATGGTTTATTCAGTTAACTGATGGCAATAATATTTGTTCATCGGAGTGATCATACGCCCCMTTTGCTTTCAACATTCGCCCCTTTTCTCAGTTGATTCCTTCCTGTTTACAGTAATTAAYGTTAATAAATCTTCTGACTAAAATTCAAATGTATGTGAACAATTCTAGCTTTAAATAACAAAAAAAAAACCGTGAAAAAGTTCTAGAGTKAAGTCAAAAAACCCGTGAATTAATAGTTAATATTAATTAATATTAATATCCTAATTTCACGTTGTACGCCCACTACTTTAACTGTTTCTTTTGTGTTTATTTGACTATATTGCAGTCATTAAACCCGTGAAACAAAACTTGAACATTAACGTGTGATAGTCAAATAGACACAAAAGAAAACAATGCAATTTAAGTGTTCTTCCTAGCGCTATTTAGCAGTTTTGAAAGCACTTTGGATGATTTCAATCTTGCTMAAATGTGTTTCGCTGTTTTATCTGAATTTTCTGATAAAATATCTCAATATCGACTAGTAATTGTGGGTCAAAGGTGCTCAAATGAAGGATTTCCAGTCTTTTAATAGTTATTATATTTGGCAAGAATACAGTGAATCGTTATTGGCAGAGAATCAAAGGACGGCTTACATTATGCAGACTACAGACAGGATTTAACAAATTGATATCTTAACAATCCAAGGAGAAGGATGAGCGACTCCAGACATAAATATTGGACAAAAAAAAAATTGAAAAGCTATGCATATTGTTTTATTAAATTCTATCAATGAAATATTATAAAAGTTAAGTAAGTGCGCTKTCCATTTGTCAGAACTGRCTGGCCAGACCCAGAGAAAATGTCGTTATATATCWTTCCTATTTAGTTAGGAAATTCAAATTTTCAAATTCTATCCATTATTCTACAGAAAACCTCGAAATGACTGAAAAATGTTGACAAAAAGTATTATATACCTCTAAATAGAGTGGATTGGCCGGCAAGTTCTGCCTAATGGAAAGCACACGCCTGGTAACACTTTGCCACAATGTGTTAAGTGCACAAGGTGACTATCAAAGTCGTGAACAACGTGTTAAGAAACCTATAATAACTTCTAAACACATTACTATGCTCTAAACAATTTTTCTCCTGGCTTTTTAAGCTACGTAATACTGCTCAAGCAAGCTGTTTTCCTTYAAAGTTCCTTTCAAACTCCATACAACATAGGTTGTACACGTAAGCTAGTGTGAATGACACATGTCAATCGACTGCAGCCAAGCGAGAGGGAGAGCTTTAAGCAAGACTCCTAAAATTTCGTGGAAGGTCAAGTACGCGGACGATACGTTTAACAAGAGAAAGAATTACAAATTTATGTACACAGAAATAAATCATGTTCGAACTTCTAGGTTGTTACATAAAGAACTGGTTGTCGATTTTCGTTTCTGGGGAAACTTTTATAGATGCTGATGGTGATGATCATGTCATTAGATTTCGCGAATTAAAAATCTGGGTGGATGTATTTGTTCAAAAAGCATATATTTAAGTATGTCCCCTGAGCACAGGATATACTTATAGTTAAGAATACAGTATGATTTTTAATTCTATAATAGCCTTCTTAAAATAACTACCCGATGTTTTTGCCATGCACCTCTGTCGATCTGGCCGATAAAATTATTTGAAATATTTATTCAGAAATATCATACAGCGATAATCCTCTAGCACAATTTAAATTGGTATTAAAGTGGTCTTGTGTGCATCCGTTTCTATAATCTTTGAAGATTTTTCTGAAAACTTTAAAAAAATAATTAAAGCCTGAATATACTGCTACTAGCAGAGCTATGATACCGACCCAGAGGGCACAGGAACACAGGAACATGCTGTGTCTATCTGGAAATATTTGACTTGATAGCTGCAAACTGCGTACGTATTACTTAGTATGAAAAGACGTTAATAAAGTAGGTACCGCTACATAGTATTGACGGGCGGGATATCAGTGTCTAGATAATGATATAAATAGGAAGCTCGTGGGTTGTGAAGACATCGTTAGGAAGATGTTGTTGTTTAATTTAAACCATATGCATGCTAAGAAACCATCAACGTATTTGGTGATGCTGGATTCATAATATACCACATCCTTAACACTTTAATTAACACATTGGGGCACTTTTGGGTCTTGAGTAGTCGATATTAAATAAACTTTTAAAGTTTTCAATGAAGTTTTTAACGGTGGAATAACTCAAAAAGCACCAAAGAATTGACAAAGTACACCGGTAGAGCAGTATCTTCGCATAAGTCTGCCCGTTTTATTAAAACGATCTCATAGCAAATTATTGAGCAATGGAATGTCTCCATTATGTAATTATGTACTAATAAAGAAACCTTTGTATTGAACTTGCCTCATCAAAAAAAATAAACTGAAAAATCGTTAAGAATGATAATTATAGTTCCAAGAGCCTACCTTGCGCTTCATGGACGACGAAGCCCAGCAAGAGAGCTGTGACAAGGTTCATATTCTTGTTTCTCACCTCAATTTTGCCTACTACCATACATGTCAACGGTAGAAACAACGAGAGGGAACTGAATCCCAAAAGGTTTAACAGTGATCTTTATCAACGAGTGACAAGTATTATATTACCGATATGGGATGAGAGGGACACTGTTTATCGGCAAACCGCCGTGACAGCTCAGACGAAGTTGGCACGGAATTATCACTTTCATCATATTGATCCAATTGGCTCTTTTCAATTAAGTCATTACCTAACTTTGGAAATTCAAAGTCCCGATTGTGTTGGACACTTTATTTATACCTTATGATCTTAAGTGATGGTGACCTTTTCTCTGGCCAGCACAAAGTGGTCAAATTGGTTATTCGAAGCAAGAACGTTCTGAAGAGATTTGAAGCTGGTTGCGTGATAGCACTATCTACGGGATAAATCCTTATCCGCTGCATAAAATCCATACAAAAACAATCCAGCGATGCACTATGAGACTATCATCTTTTCTTCTCAACAGGTCAGTTGGTGAAGATAGAAATTGAATTACTTTCGGCTAGGATCATTGACAAAACATACATATAAAAGAAAAGATTGGAATAGGAATCTGGATAACGGCTAGACAAGGATATTATATTTGTTGTTTTTGACAAAAGTGTCATAGGCATTTGACAAACTTTGGCTGGGAATGCAACCAGGATTAGATTACACTCCAGATATTGTTTTGCAACTGGTAAATTCTTTGAGCGTAGAACCACCGACAGGAAATTAGCCCTGGGGTCCAAAGAGGATATACTCGATGCAATCAAGATCTTTTTAGTGAGGTACAAATTCTGATTCCTTCCACAAATAGATTCTTTATTTTATTGGATTTTCAGGGACCCCAGGGTAAATCCCTCCCCTCCTGTGAAGAAGCCCAAGAAGAACACCTTCCCACTAAAAAAACGAAAATAATTGAAAATGGAACTGGCTCTGAGTAATCATCCACATCCAAAAATTGAAATCTTAGCCCCTTCGTCTTTATACTGTTATCATAGCTGTTGTTGTTGTTTTTGAAGAATTCGATCTTTGATGTTCTGGGTTTCCTGTGCTTGCYAAATGTTTCCCCTTTACCCCCACCCACAAAAATTCACCTTGTTGCTTTATACATTAATTTTGATAGATTTCGCTCTAGGTCCTCGCCAAGACGATATTGATATGACCAAAACTAATAGCCTTCGTAACATGACCTGGACTTCGTGGAAATGAGTCATCACTCGGAGGTAACATCTCATGCCAGATCTTTATAAAAAACTTCGCTGAAGAGGCTGGAATCAGGGCTGAGATCAGTAGAGTTAAACCCGGTGGTTTTTCTATTGACTGTGCGCAAATGTATCAACATTTATTGGAAATTTAACAAACACTTAAAAACACAGGTGGCAACAGACGATGCCGGAGGCATAACATTGAGCCCTATTSTAATAAAGAGGCATTTGTTGCCGGGTGGTAGCAAATATTTAGCTTTCTCACGGATTGATTTATAGTTGATCTTTTAAAAACATGTTGACTCTTTATTCAAGACTTTATAAAGGTCGTCCGATTTATGAGATTTTAGATAAGTCAGACAGCATCATATGACATTATTMGTGTACAGTTTAGYGTTGGCCTAGAGGGCGTTTGTTATCACTCTTGTTTTTAAGAGCTTCTTTAACTCTTTTCAAGGTAATYAATTTCTGGAAAGCGTAAAAAGAGAGTCGGTTTTACTAGACAAACTGTTCAGCATCAATCACATGGGGAAATAAATCCACTCAGTTTCTGATCATAAAATGGCATACTGGTATTCAATTTAATTGATAGGAAATTAATTTTGAATTCTTTTCATCACTTAATCAATCAAGCATTTAAAAATAAATTTCGCACGAATCGAACTCATCACCAAATTCTTTTTGGAACTGCTAGCATTTTAAGTAGCTTTCCCATCAAAATCAAAGGCATAGCATTTGTGTATATTAAAAAAAACGTTGCCACCGACTCCAGCCTAAACCATAGCAAAGATGTTTTCATTGATATCTTGTCACCAATATACATCAAAAAGTTAAAGGCCAATATTTTGSCGTCGATCGTAATGACCTAGTTGAGTGCAAAGAAAGTGTTCTAAATGGATCGCCTTGGCTTCCAGGGGACGAAACGGTAATAGGCAATGAAAGTTCTTGAGTTTTACGGCTGACCCGGCTTAAACCTCCCATTTATTATAAGTGCACAGAACTGAAAGACAAATCGTGGCTGTGAATTATTGCAATATTTCCCATCCGAATTTTGATATCAAGACGGAGAGCTGTAAGCGAGAAATTTTACGACGGAAATTCGCATATATCATTAACTAATTAGAGCGGATTTCGTATGAGTGGGAAACGAACGGTACTGTACTGTGTCCGTAATCGTACTGTAACCAAATTCTAGTGCCCCATTGTTCCACCAAAATTCTGCAGGCCAGGTGTGGTAACTGTGCGGTAACCGTGCGGTAACGGTGTCCCACTCATACGAAATCCGCTCTAACAGCGATGTACGGTTCAATAGCTATTGTAAGGATTGCGCAGCAGTCGACACCAAAAAAATTCCAGACTCATTTGAAATCGGTGGTAAAACTACACTAAAAATAGTTCCATACACTAAAAATAGCCTGGTTGTTGTCAAAGTCTTCTCCAATTTCTCTTTTCTGTTCCTGTGGCTTTAATGGGGGTGGTGCATATGTTCCCTGTGCCCCCCTCCCCCCTGGCTTCTTACATAATAATTCATCTCTTGTTATGATTCCTGGGACACGAAAACTGATATTTCAGGAACAGAATTGATATTAAAACATTAATTTTTGGAACTAGCCTATATAATCATTTTTATCATATCATTGAAATACCTATATTTCTCCATTTCGTAAAATTCATATTTTCACTAGTGAAAATAACAAATTCGAGGTTTTTCTATATGAGTTGAAGTAAGAAAAAATGTACTTTAAGACAATTTTCTTTCATATGTAATTATTATTTGATAAACAGACTGATATTACATGGTCGCTTGGAGATAGGAATTTTATATTCTCGTGTTGAAAATCTCTCGTTCGCTACGCTCACTCGTGAGAGATCTTTTCAACGCTCGAAGATAAAATCCGTATCTCCGCGCGCCCGTGAAATATCCTCTATGTAACGACTTTTATTCTCATTCTTCTGAGGATGGCATAAAATGTAATGCTGAAACATGTTAAGACAAAAAACGTATATCGTATTTTTTAAAGTTTTGAAGTTAGAATTGATATCGATATTGTATAATGAGTAATAGTAAGAGCTTATCATTTCACAATTGGAATTTGAAGTTTTTACTGATAAAAGAAAAACATCAGAGAGACGTGGTATCAAATGGCGATGGAGATCGACTAGACTCGATGCATGGAGCGAAGTATTGTCGTTTCGATCTGTAAATATCAGCATAATAAGAGAAAGAATAAGGTGACCTTAGTGACTGATGTTTTTTTTAAAACTTTGGCTTCATTTCATTGTATTTAATCCGAAACCCATGTCCATTTTTTAAAGTTTCTCTCGCTGTTTTTGAACTGAAAATCCACAGATTCTTTTCTAGTGCATCTAGATAGTATCTAGTCAATGGTTTAAGTGCAAATGTTTTTATAATGTTCATAAGCATTATAGTTAGTGTAGTATTAAAGGTAGGCAAAAAGCCACGTTTTGCAATCATTACGCATGTTTAATTGAGARCGACCTCTGGTTTCATTAAAAWAATAATAATAGACAAAACCRKAAGATTTGCATCGCCTCCTTGCTGGCTCAAGACGTGACACTATAGAACATACTAGTTGTACAATCAGTTCAATGCAGTTCAATGAAATTCGGTCAGAAACATTTAAAAAGATTTAAGAAAACTTTGAAAATCTAATTGCTTCGGAAATCTTGATCCTTTTCCACTTTTGTGATTAATTTTTAATTATCGAAAGATAAGAGATTGTTCTGATACAGTTGTCACGACTGTCGGTTGCACCTCATATTGCAATGTCACGAAAACTTTAACGATTAATTAACACTAATTTCTCGAATTGTCTCGACGCTTTTCTTTCCTCAAARTTACGCTCAATTTGTCAATTCAAAATCCCAGTCATTCCATGCGAGTCAAGATGACTTCAATGTACGAAATCTTTCTATC